GTTGGAGGCACATTAGTTGTGCTTCATCCAGGTGGAACTATCGATTTCGATTATTTAACCAAAGTGTTGCTGAACAAACAAATTACATATATGCATACTGTACCAAGTTTACTGCATAGTTTTTTTACTTCTATCGAGCAGAACAGCAATCCGAATGTCTTGAAACATCTCCGTTCACTTTGCAGCAGTGGTGAGTGACTTTCAACAAATTTTTCTTGCTTATGTAGTATGTTTTTTTATTATAGGTGAACCCTTTTCTGTTCCTTTAATTGATTTGATTGTGAAAATTGGTATAACCAACTGTATTGTGTGGAATTTGTATGGTCCAGCAGAAGCAACCATAGGTTCTACAATTCATTGTATAAATGTTACAAATGACACACATAGCATTCCAATTGGTAGACCATTTTATAATTACCGATGTATGATTATGAATGAACATTCACAATCATCTGTTACCGATCAACAAGGTGAACTGTTTGTGGGAGGTGTTGGTGTCTTTGCTGGTTATCTTGGTCGTATGGACTTAACTGCAAAAGCTCTCATTGAAATAGATGGCGAACCATTTTATCGAACAGGTGATCTTGTTAGAATGGATAGCAATGGTCTTCTACATTATCAAGGAAGAAAAGATCATCAAATCAAATTACATGGTCAACGAATTGAACTTGGTGAAATCGAACGATGTCTACTTAACATTAAATCCATCTCTGCTTGTGTTGTCATGAAATGGAATGATGATTACTTAGTTGCTTATGTTCAGTCTTCTCATATTAATGAACAGGAATTGCGTAGACATTGTCAAACTCATCTTCCACCACATATGATTCCATCTTTCTTTATTATTCTTGATAAATTGCCTTTGAATCCAAATGGAAAAATAGATCGAAAATTTCTGCCACCACCTGATTTGCCATCGTCAAGTGGTAATCATGATGATAATATACCGCACACTACCTTAGAACAACAGTTACAAGATATATTTAGTCAAGCGTTCCATATTGAATCCCCTCATGTTGATGTTCCTTTTGGTCAACTAGGTGGAACATCATTGAGTGCTATTCTTGCACTTACATTGATTCGTCAACAAGTCTCCAGTAAAGTTGACATTGGCCTTTTATTTACTAATCCATCTATTCGACAACTGGCTCAAGCTATAGAACCTTTATTAGTTTTCGAAGAACTACAAGAGACAACTTCCACAGCCAATGAAATTTATGAAACACATGATCGTCTGACACCTTCATTTGTCATCGAATCTTTAGGTATTGCACTTCTTGTTTGTCAGTGGTTGTTGCCAATCATGATAATTCATCAATGGTGTCCACTTCTTTTTCCTATCTTACCAATATGTCATCTTTTATTCTATGTTATTTGCTCACATCTATTATCACCAGGAAATATCAAAGGAGGCGATGTGTTCTCTTGGAACTATTATCGTTGGTGGTTTTTAGATCGACTATGGAATAATAATACATTTTGGTTGCAACATATACTTGGTACATCTTTGTACAATTACTATCTCCGTCTTTGTGGTGCTCGAATAAGTCTCAACGCGCATATTTATACCACAACAATTGATGCTCCATGGTTGTTAGATATTGGTGAGGGAACTTGGATTGCTGATAAAACGACTCTCAACTCTGTATATTTTAATGATAATAATACTTTTACAGTACATTCAGTTAAGATTGGTTGCCATTGTTCAATTAGTGCCCGATCAGTTCTGTTTGGTGGAGTTGATATGCAAGATAATATTATTGTTCAGCCTATGTCATCAGT